TCATATCTGCTGGATCTCACTGAGAAAATGTAAGATCTTCTAAGATCCTGACATACACAAATAAGCACAAATTGAATGGGACTTATAATATGGCCACAGATTCACCCCAGAACACAATTTGAAAAAAAATCTATAGGGGAAAAGAGGAACACAGGGCAAAAGTCACGCTACTGTCAAAGGGCTTTCAGGATGCAGGATATCATTTGGGGCTTCATGTTTTCTCAAGAAGCAAGATGGGGAAATACGCCTTTGAATCCCACACACAGTTCCACAAATTCCTGCAATTCCTGAGGGCTTTCCTTTTAAGGAGGAGGATGCCCTTGAAAACATGCTGCCTTCCAAGGATCAACAGCTTCTGTCGCTCCTCTTCAAACAGCTGGGAAACAATTGCTCAACAGAAAATCTGTGAAACCAAAGGAGATAAAGTGCTGGCTGGGGAAAACTTTTTGATAGCGACTGGGTTGGCCAGTTAAAAAACCAGAATGACCCAAAGTTGAACTGTTTATTTCATCCTTAGAAACACAGTATATTGAATTTAGAGACATGGCCTATTAGTCTGGAATAACAGTATGCAAAGGGATCTTGTTGCATCTTTTGAGATTGTATGAAGGAATTTGTAGGATAAGCGTTCATAGACTTGGTCTACATCTTCAGATGTATGGTCTTTGAAAGCTTACGCTACAACTTCTTTCACACAGTTAGTCTCAAAGGTGCTACAAAGATTTCTTTGCATAAAGTATATTGAGACAGACTTTTGGCACATTTAGCTAATATTATCTAGACCAGACACAGACATCGCATGACCTACGTGAAGCCTCCACACTCCAATTTTCCAGTCCCTGTGGCCCCCACTGCCTCCTATAATGGTGGAACTTGTCATAGCAATTGGACCCACTGTCTGCACAACCAACATCCCAACAATATACTTTTACCTTTTCCCTTTCTGTCACCAGGGTTGTAGAGTTGGGAATGTACCTACATCCGCTTCAAAATAAAGACGTGGAATATTAAATGCTGAATTCGTTGCATATTTATGTTCATCAGAATTTAAGAAAGGGTTTTTTTTTTTTGGTCAGAAGTGTTAATCAAATAAATATATGTTATATTCTACTGATTAAAGTAGCCTGATGATGAAATGCCTTGTGCTACACATCAGAATTAATGCAATTTGATACCGCTTTAACTGCCATGGTTCAGTGCTATGAAATTCTGGGATTTGTAGTTCTGTGAGATGTTTAACTTTCTCTCCCAGAGAGTTCTAGTGCCACAACAAACTACAAAACCCAGGATTCCATAGGATGGAGCCATGACAGTTAAAGTGGTGCCAAACTGCATTAATTCTGCAATGTGGCAGCAGTCTACAGTAAATGTGTTATTACTGTTTAAACAAACATTTGCCACTTTATGAAGGAGTCTGAGTCAAACAGACAGTAGAAAAATAGAGGAGTCAGAACTGAAGATTTGAGAGATCGACTCCACAGCTCTGGAAGGCAGTCTGCATTATGGTGGTAGTGCCAGCTAGAAACCAATGGGCCGTGTAACCTCCAAAAAGTCCAACAAATTGTATTCATGCTTTTAAACATACACACACCAACTCTGGGAAGCTGAGTGTCCTAGTCTTCACTTGATGGCAACGGCTATGTAGAGTCCTCTTAAAGAGTCTTTCCTATTTCAAGAAGTATAGTCCAGGGAAAATGTTATCACTAGGTTTTTACCAAAGAACTTGTGAGAGAAAATTACCTTTTTGGTGCTACATATTAACTGAGGGATTCTAGGGTCCCATTCACACTGCAGAATTATAGTGCTATCATTCCACTTTTAACTGCCATGGTCTGATCTTATGGTATGGGCTTGGAGGGTATTTAGGATTCCCAACCAGGCAGCTCCAGTGCCTCATCAAACTACAAATCCCAGGATTTCGTAGAACCATGGCAGTTGAAGTGGAATAACAGCATTATAATTTTACTGCATAAATGGGTCCTGGGTATTGTAGCCCGAAAGCAATGTTCCTGAGTTCTGGTTTTGGCTTGATATGAAATGTCCCTTAGTAACCAACCCTTGGAGGGGAAAACAAAAGAGAATCCAAAGCTCAACAGAATCTTTGACAACTGACCAACTAACAAAGCAACTGGAGTATTTATAGTAAGAGGAACACCATACCCTTCTTGGTGCAAGTCCTCTATTCCTATAAGATACTTACATCAATGCCACCCTTATTGCATTCTTGGAAGGAGGATGGGGCCTGACTGTTGTTAAAAGAAAAACATAACTCAAATGCAAACCTTAGCCTTTAAGTCACATCAGATTAAAAACAGACAATATTTTGCCCACAGACTACAATTTGTCCATTATATACATTAAGGTACATTATAGGTTAGAGTTTCAAAGGGAAGCAGATATTTAGGTATATTCACATGCCGATCAGGGCTGAGCTGGAAGGAGGATTTCTTTTTTAAAGATTTATACGTGTACTGATTAGAAATAGTAATTTATGTAATTTCTGCTTTCAAGTACAGTTAACACTCCAACCTCAAGCTTTGTGGACAGTAAAGGAATCCAGAGAAATACACAGAATGTTTGTACAAAGAGTAATGGATATAGCTCTTAAAATTTAAATAATAAGATAATTACAACAGTTGCCTTCTTGCGAATAGTGCCCCCGAGGCTTGAGTAAAAAGTCTGAAGACTGTGGCCTATAATACATTTCCAGGAACATAAGACAATCTCCCCACCCATGTAAACATTTGCAAATGCAGTCAGATTTTAAAAATCAGAATAAAAAGAATGTGCAATAGTTCCAGCAGATGATTAGTACTGGTCATGTCCAAGAGAGAGGAATTCCCCTGATATAGGGCATTCTCTCAGAAAATGTATCACATTCATAGCCAATGATGGGTGTATTTTATTCCGATCCTTCTCCGATTTATTCCTATCCAAAGGTGGTTCCCAATCTTTGGTCCTCCAGATCTTTTCGATTTCAGCTCCCATAATTCCTGACTGTTGGCCAAGTCGGCTGGGGGCTTCTGGGATGTGAAGTCCATGGAGAACCAAAGGTTGGGAATTGCTACTCTAAAGTAATCCAAACTATGTAATATTTACACATTATGCAAAGTTTGTCTATGTTTTGGCCAGTTTATACAAATAATATAATTATCTCACTTTTCGGGCGACTATTTTCCCGTTAAAGTGGTTCTCACCTGTCAAAAACCCTCTATAATGGGCTACATATAGAAACAATTACATATTTTAGAGA